TCATTAGCATATTGCATTATAAGAAGATAATCTTCGTGATCTATAAAGAATATAAGGAATGGAATTTTTATAATAATAAATTTACTGTAGAAATTAAACTTTTAAATTAATTATAAATTACCTTTACTAATACCAAAACAACGAACAATTCGATCACAAAAATCAAAATGTAAATGGATTTTTAATTCATGAATAAAAGCATCTAATATACTACCTTTAATAGATTGTGTATTAGTTAATCTTTTATATACAATACATGTTCCTGTTGTAATCCAAGTTGCTTTCATGATAGATCCAAATCCTCCAGTAGTAAGATTTTTAGAATTTATTAATTGATTAAATGGTATAAATTTAACTTCTTTACTATTTAATGCATTTTCTATCCATTTATTAGCATTATCCTTATGTAATTTATCAGATTCTAAAATTTATATCATTAATAAAAAAAATATATAATACTATATTACATTTATTTTAATATAAATAATAATTGATTAAAATAACTTACTAACTATAATTATAAATTTCATTTAAATAAAAATTTTAGTTAATAGAAAAAGTATAATTAAATACTAATAAACAATAATTAAAATTACTTACTATCTAATGTATTATTAATTATTAAATATATTTTAAATAAAAATTTAAATTACAATCATAAATATAATTAAATATTAAAAATTATAAAATAATTTACCATCTAATATATTAAATATTTTTTTTAATAATAAATTTATTTGAGTTTAATTATAATAAAAGTATAATTAAATGCTGATAATTAATAAAAATAACTTACTAACTTTAATTTTAAATTCAATTAAATAAAGAATTTAGTTGAGTTTAAATTACAATAAAAATATAATTAAATACTGATAATTAATAAAAATAACTTACGTTCTTTAATTTTTTAAATAATAATTTAGTTGAGTTTAAATTACAATAAAAGTATAATTAAAATACTGATAATTAATAAAAATAACTTACGCTCTTTAGTTTTTTAAATATATAATTTAGTTAAATTTAAATTATAATAATTAAATACTAATAATTAATAAAATAACTTACTAACTATAATTTTAAATTTAATTAAATAAAAATTTAGTTAAGTTTAAATTACAATATAAGTATAATTGAATACTGATAATTAATAAAAACAACTTACGTTCTTTAATTTTTAAATAATAATTTAGTTGAGTTTAAATTACAATAAAAGTATAAGTAAATACTGATAATTAATAAAAATAACTTACGCTCTTTAGTTTTTTAATAAAAAATTTAGTTGAGTTTAAATTATAATATAAAGTATAATTGAATACTGATAATTAATAAAAATAACTTACGCTCTTTAATTTTAAATTTTAATTAAATAAAATATTTAGTTGAGTTTGAATTATAATAAAAAGTATAATTAAATACTAATAATTAATAAATTAACTTACGTTCTTTAATTTTAAATTTTAATTAAACAAAAAATTTAGTTGAATTTAAATTATAATAATTAATACTGATAATTAATAAAAATAACTTACTAACTGTAATTTTAAATTTAATTAAATAAAAATTTAGTTGAGTTTAAATTACAATAAAAGTATAATTAAATACTGATAATTAATAAAAATAACTTACCAACTGTAATTTTAAATTTAATTAAATAAAAAATTTAGTTGAGATTAAATTACAATAAAAAGTATGATTAAATACTAATAATTAATAAAAATAACTTACGTTCTTTAATTTTAAATTTTAATTAAATAAAAAATTTAATTGAGTTTAAATTACAATAAAAGTATAATTGAATATTGATAATTAATAAAATAACTTACTCCCTTAGTTTTTAAATAAAAATTTAGTTGAATTTAAATTACAATAATTAAATACTGATAATTAATAAAATAACTCACTTGCTTTAGTTTTTTAAATAAAAAATTTAATTGTGTTTAAAAATATAATTGAATACCAATAATTAATAAAATAACTTACCCTCTTTTAGTTTTAAATTTTAATTAAATAAATATTTAGTTGAGTTTAAATTACAATAAAAAGTATAATTAAATACTAATAATTAATAAAAATAACTTACGTTCTTTAATTTTTAATTTTAATTAAATAAAAAATTTAGTTGAATTTAAATTACAATAATTAAATACTGATAATTAATAAAAATAACTTAC